GATAGTTAACTTGCCAAGAGGAAGAGCCATGGCCGACTACGGTTTGAACCGTATGTTTGTACGTTGTGGGCGTCTATACGGGGACAGTAGAGACGACTGCTAAAGTACGGTGAAACAAAAATTACAGAACAAAGAAACGAATTTGGTGCTTTAAAATTACAAATTAATTAGAATTTTCCATTGATTACTGGATTTTCCGATTGCTTTGTGGTTTGAATTGAGGTGATTTACGAGTTCGATTACATGGTTAGCATTTTGCAACGTATACACCCCCTCGCCGCCGGTTTTAGTTACTTACTACACTAGGGTAAACTACATAACCAGTTGTTCAACTTCATATATATTTTCCTTTTAGTCACTAATGTTTGAAAATATATATTTTAATCACTAACCTAATAGATTTTATTACTTCATAACACCCCGTAATTTGAACAATTTACACCTTTTCTTATTAATTTAATCAATAGCACCTTTTCCCAAATAAAATTAATATCTTAATAATCTTACATTCTTTGCATAAACACCATATTATATGTTCTAAATACTCTCAACCATTTGACAATGAATGCTCAATCACCCTGCTACAGTTGTTGGTATTCGAACCGTAACCTCTAAAAATAACAATTCCTTTAACCACCGAGATAATTTGATTTATACACATTATCCACATTATATCCAACGAATTAAAATTAGACAAGAATAAAATCTAAACTGAAATATATTACGTATGGAATTCAAACTTGGTATATCTTCTAAATGCAGCTGCAACTTAAGGCCAAAACCCGAACCAAACCATGCCACATAGGCTATTAATTGATGAAAGTGTATGATCCATCAAATCTTTAATCTACGATCTAAATAACATAAAAAAGAAATCTAAAATTTCCCGGTCGATTCAAAGGGAACTGAAGAGTCTTTAAGACAATCCTGAGGCCTGGAGAGGCCATCCATACGAATCAAGCAGAAAATAGGGTGTTTGCTATTGTTGTCCACTTGATCCTCCCACCTGTTGTGGCACCGCATTAGTTGCGCTGCGAGTTCTTGCAAGGAAAGGAAAAGAACTGGTCCGACTGGAAAACATTGTCCCGAAGAAACCGGAACTTGAGGAGACGTTGGTATCGTCTTCTGGAGCCCGGTTACCGTTGCTGACATCATGGCTGCTTGATTCACCTACTTCCTGAAAACCAGATATGTAATATAAGCATTGAAACCATAAAAAGGATACATCGAGACCAATTGTTACAGAGAGAGATAGGGCTAAAACCTTAAGGCCAGAGCCGGAGAAAGCATTTCTGGAAGATCTCTTAACCTGCCAGAAACCAAATGGGAGAGAAGGATTTACTAGAAGGGACGAAAACTTGTTTTAGATGAACCATTTGGTTTGGACTTGATGCCATGATTTGATTCCAATCTATGTATCTCGAAGTTAAGCGAGTGTCGGATATAAGTAAATTCATTATTTCTAAATTTTCGGAAGAATTTTGGACAGTCATCTTTACATACATGTCTGATGAAAAGTCAGAACAAATTTGAACCGAACTTCCAAGTTCCATTATTTAATTTCAGAGCAGTATTCATTCATCACACAGTGCATTAAAGAGAAAAAGGATCTGACCCTAGACGGTGCTTTCTTTGGGGGATTCAAGAGCTGGCCGGGAGGAGCTTGTGGGTGAAGCCTGCAAGAGTTGAATAACACTCGGGACGATGAAACATGAGGCATAGGAACCAGCATGAAAGCCAACGTCTAAAATAAGTGAATATAAAAACACAGCTGTAGAAACGTGATTGTGATCGGCAGTGATCCAAAAGAGCAATAATCATCTGTTCATATGTTTAGCTTCAAGCTCAAGCATACCACAGTATATTCATTCGCATAACAAAATCTTGACAAATATATACCGCTGAAAGAAGAGAGATGTCACACACCCTAGTTGTTGTGGGTTAAATTGAAAGGTTTAAAAATAATAATACTTAAGCATAGTTCAGGGGCTTAAGGCATAATTTGCCCATGGTTGGGTTTAAAACTTAAAATCACTCCCTTTTCCGCTATTTTCCCCGTGTTCTGTTAAATTATTTTCCCAAACAGTTTATTTTTCTCACTCACTAGAGTTATTGTGTTTTCCCTCCGTTTGGTCTTCGTTTCGGCCTCAGTGACTCTCACCGCCGGCGTCCTTGTGTCCATCTTGTCACTGTTCATGAGGTTTTAAATTCAAAACCGACTGAACTGGTTTGCAGCTGGACTAGTCAACCAGTTAACCCGACCTTTGACCGTTGACTTTTTTCGAAAATCAATATATTTATGTTTTTCAACGTCCTGAGTCGTTTGACCTTGTTTTACCTCATTTTCCGTATTTAATCTTAATTATGTTAAGTAAAGTGTGGGATTTTGAATTCACTTTTTGATTTAATTTTATGAAGGTACTTTCGTATCTCCGAGCGCTTTCCAATAGACCCTGATCAGTCTGTCATCCTCAGCTCAATTCCAGTCACTAGTTTTGAGATATGGGTAAGTATTAGATTGGTATTTTATGGCATATTCTATTTAGTGGTTAGCATCTGTATTTATGGTAAAGTACTATTTTAGGTTCTCGATCTGCAGGACCTAGTACTATTGACTGTGGGAAGCGTAAGGCTTAGTTGATATCGGTTATCTTCTTTAGGTGTGTCTTCTTTACCTAATTGATACTCGGATAAGTTTGACTATTATGTTAATACTTCTGCTTAAAGTAAGTTTGTAATTTGGTTGCAGTTACCAGTATCATTCATATTTCTGAATAATGTAGCACCACTGTTTATCTGCTTATTGATGTATTTCTGATCTGCATGGGATTAATTCTCTGTTCTGACATCTATTTGAGATTAATTCCCGGTTCTAACATCTGCATGGGATTATAACCCTGTCATGTTTCTCTATAGCGAAAGGTAAAGTAGAGTGCCCTTGGTGTTGATTTATGTTCATTAAATTCGGATTTAATGTTGTACTTTAATTGTATTGTTCTGTGTATGCTTGGTTATCTACTTTACTTTAGAGGGCATACTGGGCTTCGTAGTTCATTTTCTAGTTTTCGTCTTTTCAAATTACTCAGACTTTTAGGATTTACGATCCATACTTAGAGGATCGTTTATTGTCATTATCTTCCAGACATTGTATGGACGTTTTCTTTTCGGACTTTTTATTATTTGTTTTATGTTGAATATATATATATATATATATATATATATATATATATATTGTGTATTTCTTTTTATGGGACTTGGGATAATGATTTTCTTAATGTTTTCGAATCTAGAACTCGTGGTATGTTTTTAAGTACAAAGAACTCTTGAATTCTTTTGACGATTTAACGACGATGCATGGCAAGACATGAGTTCTTCTTGATTTCTGTTCAATCTAATTAACGATGTCGTGGTCTCCGAAATTCGACCGTGACGTCCAGGCCGGGTCTAGGAGGTTAGAAGAGATACGATGGAAAACATATAGTTCATTGCAGATCAGATAAGTGGGTTTATTCTGTTCCATAGTCTGGGCATAATCACACAACCAGTTTACCCCTTCGTTTGTCATATCCTATGAAGATGATAGAAAAACATACACATTGATAGAAGCAAAGAAAGCAGTCGCGAATCTCGTTTAAATTGCACCCTATCATTATTCGATTAAATCCTTAAATTTTAAATCTTTTCAATGAAGTCACTGACATGATACTTGAGGTATTACAGAGCATCTTTTATTCGTCTTGTATCATAACAAATCAATCAATTGTCAGTGAATAACAAAAGGGATCGATACATGAAACTTAAGCTTCTATCTCACCTCCTCTTGTGTAGTAGTAGTGATATCAGCCATTTCATCCAGGCGATTATCCACACTCTCAATTCTTGAGGATAGATGTCGTCTGGTAACCTAGAAGGCAACAAAGGAAACAGTTTTTTTTTTTTAAAAGAAAGAGGGTCAGAGGAGAGTTTGGTCAATTTCTAGGAAAAATAGACATAAATATGGATGCCAAAATCATGTCATTTGGTACTCCATAGAATGACCATTCATGGATGTAGGCAGTGTATGAACAAATTTAAAAGAGAGGAAGTTATGCCAGTAAAAGAAGAACTTGCCGAAATGGATGAGTAAACACTCTCCAGCCGCTTGGCTATAGCTTCACGCGCATCAGATAAACTACGTGGTACTATTATTTATCATAAATACAACAATTACAATGAAGCCTCAAGAGTTTGATTACTTTGTTCGCGCTTAGCAACGTGATTATTTTGCTAACTATGTGGGATAATTCGATAAAAGCCCCTTGACTTCTCCGAATATCACGAAAATAGCTAATCATGTCAAACGAATTTGTATTGACCCTTCAGCTCATTTTACTATTCAACTAATAATAAAGTAGGGTAAAGTACACAAATTATCTCGATTATAGGATACTGTTTTATTAAGGTCTTCAACTATTAAAAGTTATAAAATGGTCCCTCGACTATAGAATGTTACTTTGTTAACTTCCTCGACAATTAAAAGTTACAAAATAATCACATGACTATTCATTAATCATTATATTCCAAATTCGTCATTTTCCGTTAAAAAATTGGCAGTTGTTTAAGTTGGACATTAACATGATGATTGAGATATAATAGTCGTTTGAAATTCTAAGATCAACTTTTATCATATCACAATCAATAGATCAACGTTTAGCTCAGAATATCGTCACTTTAACGGAAAAAGAGTTTAGAACATAATAAATAATCGGGTGGTCATTTTATAACTTTGATAGTCAATGAACTCAACAAATAATATTCTATAGTTCGAGGACAATTTTGTAACATTTAATAATCGAAATACCTAATAAGACAGTATCCTATAATCGGGAATCATTTATGTAATTTATAATAAAGTAATTTTTTACATTATTTCTAAACTAAAATAATAATTAATGTATATCAAACACATGCCATTGTCTAAACATTTACATCCGAATTTGAGCAATTGAACACATTCCGAGTCAATCTACTTTCTTATTGGTGGACTGAGGCTTGTTCGCCGCCGTAGGACGGTTATCCTCCGCCGTCTTGCCGTGTATCTCAACCCTTTCCTTAAAATACCTCTCGAATGCTTGAGGAAGGAATCGCGGAATCAAAAAGAGAAAGAGATTGATAGAGAAGTACAATAGGTTCGCAACCGCCAGGCCTTTCCCAAACCAATGCCATACGATGTCCTGCACAACCGATGTAATCGTAAACTAGACGTCGAATGATCGACAGTGGCGGATTTTGTTGAGAAAATTTACCTTCAGTCGTGCATCTGTAGGCAGAGCTTTGATGAGCCAAACATCATGGATCCAGTCGATGAGAACGAAGATCCTCCGGACTGTATATAGCAACGGTACGAGTGCTCTCACCGGCGGTGAAAACAAAGACAGTCCGCCGATCACATTCTCCGTTAGAATCTGAAACGAGAGCAAGAACAAGTGCGGCGTCGCCGCTCGAACATCATGATCTTCGCCCCTCGCGAAGCCGCCCAAGACGTAAGCGAGCGGCAAGAAAAGCCCGATGGTCGTCCCGATGACCACGTAGAGCCTGAAGAGTTTGCTGCCGTGGAAAATCTCTTGCGAGGCGGTCGGCACGTAACCGCAGGACGGGAAGGCGAAGCGCGAGAGGCCGATGATATAAGCGGAGGCGAAGGCGGGGAAGACTAAATCGATGAGCGGGACGAGGCCGCTAATCGAGAAAACCATGATGAAAACCACCAGTTGGAGCTCGATCACACGCAACGATCCCATTATGCTGCCGCCCACCTCCGATTGCGGCTGTAGCTGCGGTTTGCGCTCCGGTTTTTCTCCTGCCGCCACCGTGTGATCGGGATCACTTCTAAGAGCCATAGCAAGTGATACGCCGGACATTTTTACCTTTTTTTGGAATCAAATTCACCAACGCGAAATCGAAACATAAAAATATGTACGATCATTAATAAATAATACAAATTTAAAAGGAAAATAAATTAAAGAGAAGAGATCTTACTGACGAAGGATTCGATCAAAGATAGTGAAAGTGAGAGAGCATTAGATTTTGCGTTAGAAATACTGAGAAAGAGCAGGCGATTACTGCTGCAGTTCGTTCCACCACGTAACTGTTTATGATTGGGTAAATTATGAGTTTAGTACCTCAACTATCTATTTTGGTCCTTTTTAGTACCTAGACTTTCAATTTTTTCAAAACCATACCTAAAGTTTTGTTTTTGTTTCATTTTAGTACCCTTGTTCAAAATTTAACGTTGATTTTTTTAAAGAAATTGAAAGTTTAGGTACTAAAACGGGCCAAAATTGATATTTTAGGTACTAAAACGGGCCAAAACTGATAGTTTAAAGATTGTGGATATTAAAGATTAGAGTGATTTGGAGTTTTATGAGTCTTAAAGCGATTTAGGTAAAATTTAAACTTATAGAGTGGTAAGAGATAATAAGATGAGTTCATCAATATTTTGAGTGATCAGAGAAAGCGTTAGAGAATTACAATTTTAGTGTCCTCAATATGACATAAGCATGAAACTATAAAATTTTCATCTTTAAAAAAAACTAAAAAGTACGAAAAAAGAAAAATGACATGAGATTCATGTCAATAAAAATCAATTTATATCAATAGATGTGGCTGTCATGTCACTCTTTTATTTTTATTTAATATTCAAGTGATCAAAATAGAAATAAATAAAAAATTTAATGAGTGATTTAAAAAAATAAATTTTAATGATCAAAATAAGAAAAAAAAATTTGAAGTGATAAAATTTATAAGTTACATTTTTTTGTCCTTATTGTTCTGCTAAATTAGATTTTCTTTTGTTTTTCTTTTTGTGCACAAATTGAAAATAATTAAAAACAAAAAAAAACAAGGGCCTATTTGTAAGAATAACAAAGTCGAATGCATTTTTCAAATAAAAAAATAGAATGTATTTTAGATAAAAGCGAATTTAAAGAAAAAATGAGCAAAATTAAAAAGTAAAAACCAATGGACTATTTGTCGAGTCGAGTTTTGTTCAACCCTAACGATAAACAACGGATCGTCTTGTACAAACAAACAGAGAAACCAGGCTTCGAAAAAACTACCAACCATGTAATCATGTAGAATCACAAATCGAGAAAAATACCAATAAAAGAAACCTACATCGAAAGTCTACAAACATTAATAGTCATGATACTCCTTACCAAAAAAATTTCCCGATAAATTACAATTAAGTGACTATAATAAATAAATTTACGTATTATATTATATTATATAATTAATATTTCAACACTCTTAAGTATTATATTTCAGATTTCATTATGGATTTTATATCATAAATGAATCTCACTTTCGACTATTCTCTTAATCACGTCAACGGCATGCAAAACAACGAAAGCCGCCGACGCCGGCAAACTCAACACCATCAAAGCAACCATCCCCACGGCGAAGCTCGGCTGTGTATTCATCAACACCGACTGCAAAACGCCCAGAACATCGCATATGATCGAATCGTAGCTCGTGTAATAACGTTTCTCCCACTCCATCCAATCCGCCGGCGGCTCGTAGTTCCGCTCGATCATCTTCATCTCGTGTATCCTTTTCCGCAGAACAATCATGTTTTCATCGAAGGGTCGCCGTCGTCCTCCGCCGCAGTTGCAGTTTGGGTCATCATCGTTATCCGATCTTCTGGTGGCGGATATCGTCGGCGTCGCCTTGGAGGTCGATTTCCTGGGTCAGTGATTTGGGAGGCGTGAAAGGAAAGGAGTTACGCAGATAGATTTTGATCCCATGGCTTTGGATTGATATTTGATAATAGCGTTTGAGTTTACGGTGTTTTTATAGTTTGAAATGACGGTGGGCGCCACCGGTGGGGGCGGCGAAACCGTGTTGCTTAACAGTAGAGATACAAGTAAGTTGCGCGTTTATCGAAGTGGATATTAATAATTTATGTAATGATAGCCCAATGAGTATGCTTAGGACATGGGTTGGATCATCTGACTTGTCCCTACATTAGTTAATAGGATAAACTACAAATGTTCCCTCGACTATATAATACTATTTTACAAAACTCTTCAACTATCAAAAGTTATAAAATAGTCAGTCAATTATTAATTATGTTGCAAACTAGTACTTTTTCATTAAAACATTAACAGTCATCCGAGTTGGACATTAACATGATTATTGAGATACGATAGTCGTTTGAGATTATGAGATCAAAATTTATCATATCTCAGTCAGTAGGTTAACATATAGCTCAGACAATCTTCAATTTTTTTAACAATAGTTTGGGTGACCATTTTGTAACTTTTAGTAGTTAAGAGATTCAACAAAGTAACTCCCTATAGAGAACTATTTTGTAATTTTTTATAACTAAGATATTTAACAAAGTAATACCCTATAATCAAGGGACCGTTTTATAACTTTTCTTTATCTTTATTAATTCCAATCCCTTTTCAACTTTTTTTTGTTTATAATTATAGAAGTCTTTCTTCTATCTGTTTTTGCTTTGTTCTTTTATTATTAATTTTTCAATATTTTTATTCTAGAAGTTTAATCTATGATTTGATGTCTATTTTGGCAGTTAAACTTGTATTTTTTAAATATTTTATCTCTGCGTTCTGTTTTTATTAGATTTATAGCTTCAATTTGTTACGTATATGATGTGATATTTCAATTTAATAATTAATAATGCATGTTGCAATTCCATTGGTTATTAAAATATCCATATCATCACATGCTAAAAATTATTTAAATTATCACCATATGTTAAAAATTATTTAAATTCAGTCACCACATTGTAAAGTCATGGCTAATTCAAGGACTGAATTGGATAAAAAAAACAATTGAAAGAAGTTGATAAATTTTAGGAATGACAAACGAGCGGGACATGTGCGTATACCCTTTCTCCCATCACCATACCAACTTAATATTTTCGTATTAACGACTTACTCACACCTACGAGTAAAAATTTTAAATCCACACCCGCCCACGCGGTTACATTCTTAAATTCATCTCCACACCCATTATCTAACTGGTTATCTACCACCTATCCCGTACAAGTTTGTACCCGTGTATACCCACCAATTTGAGATAGGAGAAACGACATACTTTAATTTAAAAAATATTTATACTTTAATATTTGATTAAATTACTGATCATATCCTACAAAATCTTAATATTTACAAGATAATCTTTGAAATTATATTTAAATTCGTAATGGTCTAAACTTTATATTGTGGATAGTTAGTCGGTGGGAAGATATAGGGGGGATGCGAAGCGAGTAAGATCTTAAACCCATCACCGACCCACTACCTACGGCGGGTATGACTTTTTATATTCACATTCGCCCACTACTCACTAAACTAATACCCATCCCCTTCCCAAGTGATGCGGATAAGATGCGAAATCCACAAAATTTTACCCGTCTACCACCCCTAATAAATTCAATGCTAATTATATATCAAACCTACATTAGAACATAGAGATAATACTATAAATAGCCATTAACATTTAATTGCATACCATTTTAGGCTCTATTCTCTTCTTAAATTATTCTAACTCTCAATAATAAAAGTGACCCTTATTTGGCCCTATCTTTTTAGACAATTTGCCAATTCACTTTGTAACTTTATTGGAGAAGGTTAATTTGTTATATTAACAATCGACATTAATCGATTAATAATTTCCATTCAAATAAAAGTTAACAATTTTCATCAAATGATAATTATTCTAACCAAAAGTGAAATGTTAAAGGTTAAACTAACTAAAAAATAGGATAAGGGTTAAAGTGATCAAATGATCAAAAATGAAGGGTTTTTTTGGCATTATGCCAATAAATTATCCTCGGACATAATTACGATACATGATTTTACAAAAAAAAAACATTAAAATAAATAAAGTATTATTATACATCGATCACATGTATCAAATAATTACCCAAATCCAGAATGTGAATATAATGCATGGAAAACATTAGTATCACTAATATCAACAATAAGTTTATATCAATGCTTTCAAAAGATCTGAAGATAGAAATGGGTAAACCAGAAGCAAGCATATAGTTTCAAAGCAGAAACAGAAAATAAACAAAGGTTCACCGGGGTCAGCATTCGATCAACGATAAGCCATAGAAAATAGTCTGTGACAGAGCTAACACCATAGCAAGAAGAAAACAGACAAACCGGCGGCACGGTACCATAGTTAATATGGATGCCAACTGCATAACCACTAGGTAGATTCAACAGGAAAGTACCCCTTTTTTCTTTACAGATGATTGAGGTTCTCAGGAAGGAACCCTTGGTCATTTTTGATTCAGTCACAGATGTGGAACTCCCATAGCTGTTTCTTTTCAAATGCTGTGGTTTCCGGGTTCTTTTAGCTGGGATTTGCTTCTCCGAACATAAACCTTTATTCGGTCCCTTTGGTGCCCTGGATCCATGGGGTCTTTCACCTTATTTGATGGGGATACAGTTGCCTCCTCACCCCCAAAATTTGCTTGCTCTGGTTTTGGCTCACTTTGAGTGAACCTCTTAGGTGTACTCCTCCAAATACCTCTAGGCTTTCTAGGAGTAGAATGCTTAAGACTCCGTAAAAGGATCTCCCCTGACTCCCTCGATTCAGGAGATGCGGACATGGAGTCTGTCGGTGGCATACGTGCCTTTGAGTTAATATTTGTCCTTGACTGTGATGCCGGCAAAGCACAAACAATAGACAAACCCATTGAGGCTTTCACTTTAATTGATGGGGATACAGTTGCCTTGTCACCACCAAATTTTGCTTGCTTGGTCTTTATTTCATACTTTTCAAGCTTTTTGGGTTCTCGAAACTGCCGCTGTTCTTGCTTCTCGAGTTCTACATCTTTGGAAATACCATCTGGTTTTGGCACACTTTGTGAAAACCTTTTAGATTTTTTCTCCCAAAGACCTCTAGGCTCCGTAGGAGTAGAACGCTTAAGTTGCCTTAAAAGGATCTCCCCTGACAAACCCGTTTGGTTCCCTTGATCCATTGAGGCTTTCCCTTTAATTGATGGCGATACAGCTGCCTTATCACCCCCAAAATTTGCTAGCTTGGTCTTTAATTCATATTCCGGGAGCTTTTCTGGTTCTCGAAGCTTCTGTTCTTGCTTCTCGAATTCTAGATCTTTGGACACACGATCTGGTTTTGGCTCACTTTGAGTATACCTCTTAGATGTATTCCCTCGAAGACCTCTAGGCTTTGTAGGAGTAGAACGCTTAAGTTGCCTTAAAAGGATCTCCCCTGACTCTCTCAATCCAAGAGATGCAGACCTCGAGTCTGTCACTCGCTTACCTGCATTCAGGTCAATATTTGTCCTTGATTGCGGTGCTGGTAGTGCACAAACAATAAAGGAACGCCATCTTTTGTCGCGAAGCTTTCTTTTCTGCTGCTCCTCATGCTTTAAAGGTTCTTTCTTTTGCTTTTCTAAAAGACGGACAGAACGCTTTGGACGAGTCTTCACGTCTTTTACATCCCTATCACAAGGCAATACCAGCATGTTGGTTCTGATGTCGATTTTCAGGCTGTGTGGGTGGACTTGCTCACTAATCATCTTACACTGCTGTAGTTGCTCTTGTTTACCAGCAGATTTTGTTACTCCACTTCCACCCTCCATTTGCTGTTGTTGCTCCTCGACATATTTCTTCTCGACTTCCATGGTAGGCTGGGGGATATCATCATCACTCTTCAGAACCTGTTTCAGTTCAACAAAGAATTAAATCTCAATAAGTTGTTTGTTTTGAAAGTTCAATCACAAATAAATACTGCATACTGCAATCTTTGCAATTATAGAAAGCAACTGAAGAATGATGATATCCCCCGACCGAAAATATGCCAACAATGGAAACTCTTTACATGTAATTTAACATGTAAATCAAGGTACTCAAGAACTCTGACCATTTACGACACATCATTTGTGAGGATTCTGAATGGTTATTTCAATGAAAATAATATTTTTTGACAAGAAATAACCAATTCAGACAAACCTTTATCATACTAAGAGATTGAAACATTACTTTAAGAATGTAAACAGCAATAAGTGTTATCGAAAACCCAATTCACCTTTTTTTCCCCCAAACTAAACCCAACCAGATAAGCATATTTTATCTGTTCAGTTTATAACCATTTTATCACAACTATAGGAAAATAGTATAGCTAAATGGAATACTAAAAACAGTTGTTATATTACTTATGTTTAACGAGACCCCACTTTTCTTTCAAAAATAGAGATTAACTACCTTTCTCTGTCCTTTAGTTTTCGCTTGTCGTTTTCTCTTTAGTCCCCTTCGGTTTCGAGTCACCTTAGTTAGCTTTTCTACTGCAACATTGACTTCATCAGCCACCTCTATTGGACCACTAGAGTTTAGTCTTTCTTCTTGAACCTCTTTAAGTGATTCCTTTCTGCCTTCGTTTTGTTCTTCAAGTTCCTCCATTCTTTGCTTGCATGCTATATTTTGATCACTGACTTCAACACTATGTCCTCCAATTTCCCGTTGATTCTCAGATTCCACAACTTGGACTAAGGTTAGATCTTTCTTCTCAACTCTATCTGAAATGCTCAACTGATGATGGAAACCCTCTTTCTGTAATGTAACAATGTTAGCATTGATTAAAGGGTGACCTAAAATATGAAGATCTAAAAATCATCAGAAAATTAGTCAAAAGAGAGGATTTTATGCAACAATTACCCTACGTCAACAAATATCACTTCCATTCGAAATGTGACACATAAATCACGGTACTTAAGGACTTGAGCATTTCCAACACATTATTTGTGGTTGTGGGGACACTGAATAGTTCTCTCAATGGAAATAATCTTTGTGCACATGAAATGACCAATTCAAACAATCCTTTATCTCACACAAAGAAATTGCAACATTACAATAAGCAGAATTCATATAATAGTGTCATAAGCACAGTAGACAGCAATAAGCATTATCAAAACCCCAATTCTCCTTTAATTCACCCAACTAAGCCCAACCAGGTCAGTCGTGTTTTATTTGTTCAGTTTTTTTTTTACAAGAACTATATGAAGAAAATATAGCTAATTGGAATACAATAAACAGATTTTATATAGGATGAACTACCTTTATCTGTCGTTTAGTATTCTTCTGTCTTTTTCTCTTTTGTCCCCTTCGTTTTTGAGCCACCTTAGTTAGCATTCCTTTTGCTGCATCGACTTCTTCTGCCACTTCGTTTTGTTCTTCAAATCCTTCCATTATTTTCTCACATGTTTTATTTTGACTGCTCACTTCAACATTAAATCTTTCAACTTCGCATCGATCCTCAGATTCCAAAGATTGACCGCAGTTTACCCCATCCGAGCCATCAATACCCTCAACTTCCCTCCCCTTTACTTCACATCGATTCTCAGATTCCGCAGCTTGACCGCAGTTTACCCCATTTGAGCCATCAATAGCCTCAACTTCTCCCCCCTTTACTTCACATCGATTCTCAGATTCAGTATCTTGATCGCCATTGATCCCATTTGAACCATCAATAGCCTCAACTTCTTCCCCCTTTACTTCACATTGATTCTCAGATTCAGCATCTTGATCACCATTGATCCCATTTGAGCCATCAATAGCCTCAACTTCTCTCCCCTTTACTTGGACAACGGTTTGATCTTCCTTCTCATCTCTATCTGAAATGCTTAACCGATGACTCATCTCCTCATCTTCTTTGTCCAAATCACCACCATCCACCTGGACCATATAGTGTTCGTTATTGGCACAATCAATCTCCATGTGCTTTTCCAAATGATGACTCACTTCAATTTGACCACTAAAGTTTTGACTTTCTTCTTGAGCATCTGTAAGTGGTTCCTTCACGACTTCCTTCTGTTCTTTGGGTCCCTCTGTTCTTTCAACTTCACATCGATTCTCAGATTCCGCAGCTTGATCACCATTCACCCCACTCCATCCATCAATAGCCTCGACTCTTCTCCCACTTAATTGAATCAAGGTTTGACCTTCCTTCTCATCGCTATTTGAGACATTCAATCCATGATTCATTTCCTCATTCCCGAAATCACCATCGTCCACTTGGACCATATACTGTTCATCGTTACCTGATACAATGTCTCCATTCGCACAAAATATCTTTAACTGGTTACCTGGTTTGATTTGTCCGCTAAAGTTTAGACCTTCTTGAACCGATTGAACTGACTCCCTTCCAGCTTCCATTCTTTGCTCACACGCTGTATTCCGGGCATCCACTTCAGCACTTCGTCTTCCAACTTCATATTGATTCTCAGATTCCGGAGCTCGATCCTCATTTACCCCACTCCAGCCATCAACAGCCTCAACTTCACTCCCCCTTTGGACTAAGGCACGATCGCCCTTCTCAACATTCTCGATAACATCATCATCCACATTGATCATATACCGTTCATTACGAACACATATAAGCTCTCCCTCACTACAAAGCTTCTTCAGATGATGACTCAAGAAACTAGCATGGGCGAATGGCAAACCCGGGTGTTCTTTCTCTATATGCCTCGACATAGCCTCCTCAGTTGATCCACACTCCTCATTTAATTTCAAAATTGCTTGTCGAATCATCTAAATAGTTTTTTAAAAAAACACCAAGAAAGGCAACAGTGAGAAGATAAATAAACAATTAAAGACCTAAAATTTCAATTCTTTTCTAAAGAGGAAAACGGGTTTTTTTGCCGTCATATCTTGGATTCCCAATTCAATAATCTTCCATATAAGTATCTATATATAAAAAAACAAATTAAAGATCTGGGTTGCACGCAAATTCAACAAAACTTCAATAAAATTACAGAATCGAACATCAAACAACAGGGTAATTGAAAGAAATAGAAAGAATTCTTTCTTGAAAAAGAAAGGGAGATTGACAGTTACCGAAGAGTAAGGAGGGTGAACGGGGGTTTGGAAAGAAGGAAGCAACTGCTGCAAGCGAAGGCGTACGAGCTCAGGGTCTATCGCCATTGAAGGGCTTGTTGAAGCAGAAAGCTCTGCGATAATGGCGTCTTCAAGATTCTTCATCCTTGAGCTACTACTACTACTACAACGCATTGTTTATTTGCTTCAACTCCTTAAAACCAAGACCGTGGGTCGGCAAAATTTTCGAGCTCGCTAAGCACTGTTTTTTCTTCGTATTTATTATCACTAGAATACAACCAAAAAATTCATTAAAAGATAATACATAATTAATTTTTTAATAATAAAATTTATAGAAATAGTTATATATTATAAGAATACTTTATTCAATTTAATGAATTAATTAGTTGTCATGATAATTATTTATTACTATAAATAAAAATTAAATTATAATCTTATAAATGAGTCATTTTATTCTCAATTAAATTGATATCAATGAATTGAATGAAGGAGACATTTCAATTTATATTATTTAAGACCATAGAATGTAATTTTATATTATGATATAATATTATAATATTTGGTTTGTGAACGTTACAGGCATTCAATAATTTATGATTATGAACAAACACGGGTTAGTTCAAGTGATAAGCAATTTGATATCATTTAAGTAGGGTTTCAGATTTGAGTCCTTATAGATGCAGAAAGAAAATCACTATTGGGAAACTCACCCAATAAAACCCGGTGTACGATACGGGTCGATCTAAATTAGTCAATATATACCCTTAGAATCAATAGGGCAACAAAAAGATAATAATAATAATAATAATAATTTAAGATTACGAGTCAATAAATTAAGCTATTGATATGAGATTCAACGATGTAAATATAAAAGTATTGTTAATAACAAAAGAAATTATGAACATATATTACCTTGTAATTATCATGTACTATTAAAAATAATAAGATAAAATATACAGTTTAATCTTATAAAACACAATCTCATCTATAATAGTTTAATCTTATAAAACACAATCTCATCTATAATACAAGTGTGATATTAGATTTGGTCCGATTGACTTTTTGATACATATAATTAAAGATAAATTAGTATTTAGTACCTAAATTATTTTATAACACAATCTCATCTATAAATTAGTATCTTATAAAATATACAGTTTAATCTTATAAAACACAATCTCATCTATATAAAAGATATAATTATGAAGTAGAGAAATATGATAGAACATACAAATATCTGACGGCCAAACCTGAATGCAAACAATGAAAACGATGCCTTCACCAAGAAAAAGAAACATAGAAACCTTACAAAACACAACATAGTATTCATCATCTCGTCGATTTAAATTCGTCAGCTTTGCCAATGTCACTAAAGGAAGGCTTGAAGGTCTTCCTAACCTCCTCATATGTCGGCCTTTTGTAATTTTCTGCCTGTAAAGCGCGATGTTATGATCGTCATTTCGCGGTTGAAGTTCTATCGCAATTACAATTTAAATCCCGAATTATATAAACTCTTGTTCGACAACTTCTTCAAGGGTTGCCCATTTTCACTCTGTGAACTTCGGTTCTGCAAACTAAGAACACAGCTTCAATGCTTTTCTAGTTTTAGTACAAATTGTTGTTTCAAGTACATTTTACTATACGTGTCCGATTAACACGAGAACGAATGACGTGTGTGAAAAGCTGCAGGCAAAAGTACAAAAATCAAACATTTAAAAATATAAATCAAACATTACAAGGTACAACGATCTAATTTAAAGCAAAAGAACAATAAAAAATGTGTGATCTTAGATGTTACAAGTATCATAAAATTTTAATTTAGACGCAACCTAAAATGTTATTATTTTAATATTTTATGTTTAACCGAAAATATTATAAAGAAAACTTTTAACAAAAAAAAATATTAAGAAAAAAATTAATATTTTAAGTTACGTCCAATCTAAAATATTATGAGTTTTATAATATTTTCAGTCAAATATTTCCTTAGCCGTGGTTAGGCTCTCCCTCGATAAAAACAATCTATTAAACCATTCATTTCGCAAATAGATCTTGGATTGAAACTCGTAACAAATTTGAGCCAAAACAGTTTTAAACAAACCGACTCGAGCAAATCCCGACCGGATCGGTTTCGAAGTTTAAAGCAAGTTATGCTCACACACCTAACAGCCAACTAACCCAAGAAACTTTCAATCCCCGTATTATTTGAACCTACAAAAGTCATTATAATAAATTACTTGAAATACACGTAATCTGTAGTAAATCACCAAACTCATTGCATAATCTTACGATCATCTTCCTTAAGCCGCTATCCTAGTAGTATTCTTTTCCCCTTCCCATTTGCCAGTTAGAAGTTCTCAATCGAAAAAGATGTATCTAAAAACCGAAGTTTTACGAGATGCTGAAGATTGTTATGCTCTGAAAGCACTGAACAGTTTGTTCCAATCCGAGGTGCTGAAAGCTTCGGACAGTTTGTTCCAGTCCGAGGCATCGATGTTCTGAGAAAAGAAAGCAGCACCTGCAGCAAGTGCAACAACAAGGACGACCAAAGCTTTCAAGCATCCATGGCCACGCGATAGCTTTCCCGATATGTGCTTACAGTACTTGCCTGCATCTTGAAACAGTGCCTGTCTGGCAGCATCAGCTTCATCGATCATCGCTTTTTCATTCTGAAAATGGAGAAAAGGAAAATGATAAATCAGTTGATAATATATCCTCCAAGTAAAATGTTAAAAATATTATGTCCTTCTTGAAATATCCGTGTCCGGCATATGATGCTTAAAGGATCCTTGAAAATTATATAAAAAAATTTAGACATACATGTATCGGACATATATCCATAACTGAAACGCAAATCCAAGTCCGAATAACAAAATTTTGTAGCACAATAAGCTATGTTGTTCTCAATTTTCCTTTTTCAAGTGCCCCCATACCCATGTAGTACATAAAATCGGATAAGGGTACGGAGGTATGGCTCTCCAAATGAAAAAAAAGGTGGAAAATGTTGAATATACTCGAGGTCAAACCCGAGCATCTGACACACTCAGTACCGAGTAAGATGGATCGTAAGTACCTTGCTCTGAAAATTCTTGATTGTTTCCCTCAAAGGGTCAAGAATAGTAACTTTTACAGGGTGTTGTTTCCAATCCTCAGAAAGTCTTCTGAGAACAGCAACACTTGCTTCTAGATTCTCAAGATAAGCCTTTTCCTATTCACAACCAGATAGAGAAAAAACAATTAATGAGTAGAAAGCTTCTTATAAATGCATTTCGTAAAAAACTAAAATAGTTTAAAGCCCACCCAAAGCTTGTAGCATTCAGCATTCTGGTTCAAACACCATATGACTATTCCGGCGGCTTCTTTGGATAGCTGGGGAGTAACTGTTTGAAAAGTGACCTCGAAACTGCCATTAGAACGAAGTGGGGGATAGGGGGAGTGGAAACCACAAAGAAGAAATATTTTCAAACAAAAAACTGACCTTCACCGGCTGCTTTGATAGAAAAAAGAAATATCTGCAGAGATACTTGTTTCATTGCTTTGCTTCCGTGGGAACCAGCGAGAGCCACTTCCTTTATTGTGGGATATATGGCCTCAAACCTTTCAGTTGCCTGCACAACATTACCATAACATAGTGAGAAGGTTGAGAGACTAATGATTTCAATCTATTCAATGACATGATAAATGCACAGAGTCAAACTCTTATTCTAACCTTTACTCTTGCTGAAGATGCAGGGAAGGTAACTCGCAGTAGAATCTCAAATGAAGATGGTGGCACCAGACGCTCCCCTTTTCTAACAGCGGCATTTACCAAAATTGTCCGAGCTTTTGAGACAGATAAGATCCTTTGACAAAAAGGGAAAAACTGAATAATCTTTTTTTCGATTTGAAGCTCAAAGAAAATATTAAAAAGTGAACCAGAAAGGGAAAAAAGGTGGAAACAATAGAAACTAAATACCATTCCACTAGCTGTAAAATTAGATCTCTGGACTGTGGATTACAGTTCTTGCCACCTACAATAGGCAAGAGGTGATGTGCCCACATGTACAGCCCCACAGCAAGATCTCCTCGGGATGCCTAGACAGTAAAACATTGATGTGTGAAAAAAGAAGCATATTAAAGAGGAACGTGTAACGGAAATTTAACTACCTTCAACATTTACATATCAGTTAGACTGATGTTGTGTTGCCACCACTTACCTGAACTATCATCCATACAGTGACAGGGAGCTTATCTTGTCCTTGGTATTTTGAATTTTCTCTCAGCTTCAGCAATACACTAATTAAGGCGTCAGGTTTACGTCGCAGTACCATTGCTAGTGCCACAAATATACCAACCTGCAAACTATGTTTGTATCAAACCCAAATTAAGGTGGACTGTATCTCTTGCCTAAAGTTAGAGGTAGATGCCTTTTAACTGGCAAAGTTAAATAATGATAAACCAAAACCTCCATGAATCACATGGAAAAGAAACAAATAAAAACGAAAATGAAGAAACGTTTCTCAAGTTCATTGAATTAAATGAATTCAATCTCCCTTAAAGTTAATAAATGCAACTTTCAAAGCATAAACCGGCTATCTCCCAGATTTATCACTTCATCATATTCAAAAGAAAACATTTACTAGGTGCTGCCTAGCTTGAGCATCAATAAGGGAACTTCCCATAAAATTGTTTAGACATTTGAAAGGAAATAATCCAGCTTTTAAATTTTATGATATTAAATTCTTTCCCACGGACATATATTCCAATCACTCAAAGGGTATTGTATGTTTCATGGTTTCTGTTTCTTTAAGCTGCATCAAGCTTAACATGTAAAAACCAATACATGTCAAACATCTCAAAGCAAATAACTAATATCAACACACCAGCGTCAGGCATCAAATTAATGGATAAAAAACCAAAGAATATAACCAACTTAACAGCAAAAAGGCCAATAAGTTACCTTAGACTTCGAGGATGTCTGTTGCACACTTTTCTTGGAGCCCTTAACACTTGCTTGTTGGGCCACCAAATCCTCAAGAATGATGTCTAAAGACCATAGCACAAAGAAACCAAGTGCCTCAAGGGATTGTTGGCTGATCCACTCGGCTGATGTCTTATAAACAGCATCAGGAATATGCGAAAGGGGTATCTGTCAAAGAGTCAGGGAAAGGAAGTAAACACAACAAATAGATAGAGATACTACAATGAAAAATCATCATCAGTCAGTTTCAATTACAATCA